CCTCCCCACACCCATCAGGGAAACCCCTCTCTCCTGGTTGTCTCTCCACTGCTGTGAGCTCTGTGAGGGCTCATTCATCTCCTTGCAGTGGCCCATTGACAGAAAGATGCTCAGCATCTTATTTCCAAAGGCCCCATCCTTTCCTTTCCCTGGCCCCAGCAGGGGAGGCCAGTATGCATGAGTGTGTGCATGAGTGTGTGCATGAGTGTGTATTCAAGGAGGATATTCGGGTTGACCCATACCCAGGTCCCCTTTCCTCACCGATCCCCTCTTCAGGCCCACCAGCAAAGGCGATGTGGGGGCATCTTAGGTGTGGGGCTTGGCTGCCCACCCCTGGCAACCCCCAGACTAGCTGCCTGAGTCTGGCTGGACAAGGAGCAGAACTTGGTGCCCCAGAAAGAGTTTAGAGCATCGAACCCCACACAGGACAAAGCACCCCTGTCCACACACTGTGATTCCTGTCAAATGCCCCGCCCAGAGCCCCTAGGATGTGCTGCTGCGCCCAGCTGGAGCCCAGCTCCTCCGAAAGGCAGCCCCGCACTGCAGGGTTGAGTCCTTAGGGTGGAGACAGACACTGGTCTGGGGGCTGCAGAGCAGAGGGATGGGCCAGAGTCAATGACCGGGCTGCAGTGAACCTAACTGCTTTATTAAATCAGCTCACAGCGTTACACACAGAAACATCTGATTGTTTTGCAAAACCTTGTGAGAACAGAGAGACATGCTGCCCAGACAGGGTCCTGGGGAAATGGCTTCCCCGGGTCGGATGCAGCAGGTGAAGGGCTGGAGGGGCCTGGGGGCCTGGAGGGGCCTGGGGGCCTGGAGGGGTCCAGGCTGGGAGGTGAGGTGAGGGCAGACCATTCCGAGGCCTAGGCCAGAGAGTCTGGTCCTAAGTGGGATCAGACCGAGAGGTGCTAGAGCCCAGCATTGGGTTGAAGAGTGTCCCCCAAAATTCTGTCCACCTGGAACCTCAGAATGTGACCTTTCTGGAAAAAGGGTCTTTGTGGATGTAAGTAGTTAAGGATCTTATGATGAAAAATCATCCTGGATTCAGGGTGGGCCCCTAAATCCAGTGACTGGTGTCCTCATGAGGAGAGAAGAGGATGCACAGAGACACGAAGTGAAGGCCACATGGAGATGGAGGCGGGCAATAGGGCTACGCAGCCCCACACCAAGGAACGCCCGCAGCCCTGGAAGCTGCACTGGGCAAGGATCCTCTCCCAGAGCCTCTGCAGGGAGCGTGGCTCTGCCACAACTTGACTACAGACTTCTAGCCTCCAGAACTGTGGAAGGATCATTCCTGTTGTTTTAAGCCACCCTGTCTGTGATAATTTGTGGTGGCAGCCCCAGGAAGCTAATACAGACCCAGGAGCTGCAGAGGAAAGCCTCGGGCAGCTCAGGCAGATTGCCAGGGGTGAGAGCGCCTCAGGCAACCGCTCTGCCTGCGAGGGCTCCATGGACTCAGCTTCCGTCCCCTTCCCTTGGCTCCCGGGGTCCCCAGGAGCGCCCCCATGCAGGTAAAGCTCCGAGTTCCTCCAGAAATGCTCCTCCACTCCGGGAAGCAGCAAGGCAGGTGCCAGCAGGCCGGGCCCCTCTCCTGGGGCAGCCCAATCGGCTAGGGGCGGGCGGTCCAGGGATGGGCCAGTGGCTCCAGCCTTGGCTATAAGTTCATCGCAATCACCTCCGAGGTTTAAAAAATACTAATGACTGAGCCGGCCTGTGACTCTCCTGGCCATACCCCCAGTAAGTGCAGCCAAGCGAGAGGACCCACGAGGGACCCATGAGAAACCCTAGAGTTCGCTGCCTCGGTATCCTCCCTCCCACTCCCAGTGGCCACCTGCAGAGGCCTGAGGCCACCACATGGCTCTAGCGCAGGTTTCAAGCAGGTGGCCCAAGGACCAGGCCTGCAGGTGTGTTTTGTTGGCCTATGAGAGGGGAGGGGGCCTGGCCACACAGAGGGTCAAGTCTCATCACAGCACAGGTATAAGAAGGTTTCTCCCATCGCAAATTTTGAAAATAATTTTTTAGTTGGGGGCTTATACAAGAGATTTGTGGAGCCATGACTCGCACCAGGATGCTTGTCAATTTTATTTTTTTGCTGCTTCTAGTGAGTGGATCAGATGGGGTGACGGGTGGGGTGGCAGAGGCTGGGGATGCATGTGCCAAGAGGAGAACAAAATGCATGTGTGTTGAGGGGAGGAGGCAGCAGCAGATCTGCTCTCCAGGGGCCCACAGGCTGTCCAGGTGGCATCTCCCCAGGGCCTGCCAGGTGGACAGCGCCCCTGAGAGGTCTAACAGGGGAGCCCGGCTCTGCCCAGCCAGGTCCTCATGGGTCCTCATGCCAGCCCCTCGGGGCCTCAGCATGTCCAGCCCCAGGCAGAGGGAGGACTGACTGCTACCCAGATGAGGCTGACCCTCCCGCCCCCCCTGCCCTCCACGCAAGGCTGAGGGTGGGGTCAGATTCTATTTTCTCCTACTTTCTCTCCAAGCAAGTAAGCACTTGACAAACATCTGTTGTCAGAATGAGTGGAGGGAGGCAGGAGGCAGAGCCAGAGGCACACAGGAAGGATGGGAGGGAGGGCGAGGTGACTGGTTCTGGGAATTGTCTGGGCACCTCAGCTAATGGAGGTGGGCTGGCGGCAGGCTCTGCTGGGCGGTCCTGGCTGATGGGCAGGATGTCCGTGGGGGTAGCTGGGAGTAGTCACCGTGCTGGGGACAACAAGGAACATCCCCCAGAGCCCTTGGGGAGCTTGTCTACTTCCCAAATGTCTCTGCCACTGAGTTAAGAAAAGCAAACAAAATAACACTTCCCCCTTTCCATCTCCAGAGAATTCATTAAGATGAGCCTGTGTATGCACGGAATTGGAGCCCTGGCCTCCTAGCCTAATTACCATTTTAAAGGGTGTCGGGAAAGAAACTCTACCTGCTGGGAAAACAAGTCAGCAAAGCCAGCGGTGGAGGGCACTTGCTCCCCCTGGACTTTCTCCCCTCTCACCACAGGGACATGGGGCCTCCGGCCTCTCAGTCTGGTGGGGCTAAAACCAAGGCAGAGAGTGTCTCTCGGAGCCACGTTGACACCATCAGGTGTTTGACATCAGCTATGGCCAGGCCCGGTGCTGGGCCCACGAATAGTGGTGGATCTGAGGGGTCGTGGCCCCAGCCACGCCCAGAGCCCATCCAGGAGCCAGAGCAGAGAGGAGCTCCTGTGGAGTCAGGAGGCTAAGAGAGCCCAGGACAACGTGATAAGGGAGAGGGTGCCATGGAGGGGGCGGAACACAGACAAACATGCCCTGAGCTTTGATGAGTCAGAAGAACATTTCACAGCAGAGAAGGCAGGGCGTGCCGGCAGAGGTGATACCATGAGCCAAGGAGTGGGGCTGGGGCAGTGTCACTGTGTGAGGAGCAGCAAGCGAGTGGGCCTCGGGACAAGCAGTGAGCAAGCAGATACTGGAGGGAGGTGGGCTGAGATTTTGAGGGACTCAAACAACATGGGGAGGAGCTGATCCATGCCAATGAGGACACCGCAAAGGTCACCGTCACCATCTGCACTGCCAAGAACCCCAAGCAGCCAAGCGTCTCACTGTAGTCAATGGGACACCAACAAGAGGCATTATAAGTATCCTGGTAATTCAAAAACTTCCAATATAATATTCTCTCTCTCTCTCTCTCTCTCTCTCTCTCTCTCTCTCTCTCTCACACACACACACACACACACACACACACACACACACACACACACACACTGAATACTAGATCAGACTCCAGAACTGCAATCTGTTGGGATGGAATCCCAAATGCAGGTCAATGCGGTAGAACTCCCGTGTGGGGCGGCCAGGCCTCTGCCAAGGCTGTATTGGTGCAAAGCCCCGGCCTGGAAAGCACACGACGAAGGCAGTGAGGCTGAGATCACCCTCCCAAAGCCGGTGCCCAGGGCTGTGCCTATCACCCAGGGCCCCTCCCCCAGAGCCTGTGTTCTGACCCTTCCATCAAGTCTACTAGTTCCCTGGCATTTCAGACGACTGCAGAGGAAAAGCAGGAAATTCGAGAGAGAGGCAGAGAGAGGGCTGTATCTGGGGCAAAGACAATGCCTAGTCCAGAGGAAGACCCAGGCTGAAGAGAAGACCCGGAACTGCAATCGGCAGTGAGCTGTGCTCCGTATCCTCGGTCAGTCCAGGAAGGCAGAGGGGCCCTTACCCAGCCGTCCCCAGTGTGCTCTATAAATATTTCCCCCGTGAGGACTCAGTGACAAAAAGATCCCATGGCCAGAACATCTGGGAGATCCTGCACACTACCCCCCACTTTCAGCACAAAACCACACACTGATGCAGTCAGGGCCCTGAGAAGTCCTGCAGGAAAGTGAAATGTTACTGACCCCCTTTGGGCCACCTGGAGCCACATCTGGGCCACTGGCTGACCCCAGACCACCGTGAGAGTGAGGAGCCAGGGGTCACTCCATCCAGCCTCCTGCCCATGTAGAGCAGTACAAGCCCATCACATCAACCTCTCCAGGGAAGAGAGTGCCTCAGCAACTCTGTGTGTGTGTGTGTGTGCATGCCTGAGTGTGTGCACACACATGCATGAGGCCCAGCAAATATAACCATGCTCAAGGAGCAAGTTCTCCTACTGCTCTTTCACCTCCATTATTTTGCATCTTGTCCATCCTCCTCCAGGTGACAACCCACTCAAGTAACCAAACCCTGTAATGGTTAGACCTGCCCATGGGCAGCAAGGTGACACAGACTGAAACGTGTCCTTTCCCTCCTGGAAAACATTTCCTTTGCCGAGGTTTGGACCTTCAGAAGGGCTCAGGGTCATTACTGGGCTGGGGCCAGGGCATAGACGGGAGGCTCCTTCAAGGCAAAACAAACGCCCTGGGCCCTGGGAACATCCTATTCTCATCTCAGGACTAGCCAGCCCCGGAGAGAAACCAGCATAGTCTCCAGGCAACTGTCCTGGCTGCAGACACCATGGGTGATGGGGAACAGGGGCTCCCGGGACCTCACCTGGTACGTGTTGTCGAAGCTGTCATACATGAACCGCGTAATCAGAGACGTCTTTCCGACTGTAAAACAAGAAGAGAGGGGGTCAGCCACGGCATCCGAGCTAGGTTCCTCTAAACACATTTCACATGAAGACAACGGATAACAAAGAAGCCCAAAGGAAAGATGAGATGCGGAAACAGAAGTGAAAGGCAGACCTTGGGAAAGGGACCCAGAGCAAGGCAGCCGAGTCTACACCGGCTGAGCTGCAGGGGAGTTCTTGCCAGGCACCGAGAAGGAGGCCTGTCCCTGCCCTGTGAATTCTCACCACCCAACTTCAACATCTTCCTTGGCCCACAAGAGTGTAACTGACGCCAGAGCCATACATGAAGAATTGGAGCAAGTGCGTGCAAGACTGATGCTCCCCTCACAATGGCCTACGTTCTCCCGGAAACATTGCCTTGTCATTGGCCACAGGCTGCGGTGGGGGCATGCTGTTCAGTTCTCATTCATTCAGCCCGCAGACTGCTGAGGAAGTGGCTTTCTAAGGAACCAGGCAGCAGGGGGCGTAAATGAGACATTGCCCAGTGTCTCTCAGAGGCAGGACTATTTTTTGGAAGAGCATGCCTGACTGTCCAGCTCCTTGCAGGACGGTTAACATCCCTGGGTCTCGCTGGGTAAGTTCCAGCAGGATCACAATGACAACCCTGGCTTCCCCCTCTTCGCCCGCCCTCATTTGCAAATGCCCTGAGAACCACTGCTAAGGCTCAGAGAACCATGAAGTCTCTTAGGAATCCCAGAAGTGCTGCTTATCTCCCTAACTGCAGGGTTTGGCTTCTGACCCAACCCTGTGCCGGTCTCCTGAGGCCTGGCAGTGGCAGAAATACCTACTGTAGCATTTCTATCATCTGGGAGGGGAGGACGGGGAGGAAGAAACATCTGTTAGGTCAGGCCCAGCATGGAATGCTTCTCTACACTGTCCCATCAAGTCTGCCATGGCCCCGGGAGGCTCAGAAGGGACTGGCACAGCTGAGCTTGGCTCACAGTCCCCTCTGCTCCGGCTGCCAGGAACACACAACCCTGGTGGAAAAGCAGGAGAGCCAGCACCCAAGCAGGAGAGCCAGTTCTCCAATCTGCCTCTCCCCGATTCTCGGAAGGGATGTCCACGGGCTCCACCTGGCGGGGTGGCTGGTCACTGCCTGAATGGAGCACAGTGACCCATGGGACTCCTCTGGGCAAGGTCCTTCTCTGAGGCCTCAGTGGTACAACATCTAACAGACAAGGGCAGCCACCTCCTGTCAGCCCACAACTGTAAAGAAAAGACAACAGTCTTCTAGGCAGAAGGAACACCTGTTGGACTGTGTTTGGGACAAATTTAGGTGGCTCCACCTTTGACCCGGAATGGGTCAACTGGATCCAAGTCCTAGCTGGCGTACTGTTTAGCTCCATCATTCTGAGGTGGTCCCTGCCCCTCTGGACCTCAATGCCTCATTTGGACATAACATCAGAGACTTCCAAGGGCAGTGGTAGAAATGAAATCCTATATAATAAAGAGGTGATATGCAAATTGACCACCATGCCCTCACAAGATGGCAGTGCCCACAGCAGGGGCGAGGCTGGCTGCTCTGCGCGCCTGCCGCTGGAGTCCTCTCAGCCCTGCCGGGGGCCTCGGGTCCTCCTGCACACCCCACTGACTGAGTCTCAGGCAAGCAGGGCCAGCCAAAGCGCAGGCAATCCTTGGGTGGTGGCTGCCCAGCTGCCCAGGGCTGGCCCGAGGCTCAGGTAACCAGGGCCAGCCAAGGCTTGCGCTGCCAGCAGTGGCAGCAGCAGAAGTGTGATGGGGGCATCACCTTCCCCTGATCGCTAGGTCGCCTCCTGCCCCTGAGGGCTCCCAGACTGTGAGAGGGGGGCAGGCCGGGCTGAGGGACCCCCGCTCCAGTGCATGAATTTTCATGCACCAGGCCTCTATTAAGATAATAAAAGTGCTAGGCACACAGGAAATGCTTAACACTGAAAGGAGGTAGGTAGCAGGTAACAGCTGATACCGCCACCACTACTGAATTCACCTTGCCTGTCATGTCTCTTCATCTGGCTGTTCCTGATCATTCTTCTTTATAATAAAACTGGTACCTTATAACCGTTCTGGTGAATTATGGAGCCTGAGGAGGGTCACGGGAGCCCTTGGCTTTGTCGCCAGTTGGTCAGAGTGTGGTGTCCTTGGGAACCCCATGTGTGGCTGGCAGTCTTATTGGGGACTACGCCCTTAAACTGGGGAGTCTGACACCAACTCTGGGGGGCAGTGCCAGGAAGGGCTGCAGTACCCCAGCTGGTGTCAGAAGAGCCACGTTTCTGGAAGAACCTCTCTGGGGTGAGCAGTAATGCACTCAAGGTCTCTTCTAATGGCAACGGAAAACCGTCCTTTGAAAAGCTATTGACGGGCATTTAATCTGTAAAGTACTTTCCAATTGCTTTAAATCTCCCCGTAAATTTCATATGAAGGTGGGAAGTGGGGGCTCCCCACCCAGAACGGCCTGGCTGGAGATTGCTAAGGGGAGCCCAGCGTAAATCGTGGAGCAACATTGAGCCAGCGAGAGGCAGACAAATGGGAGGGATCACAGCTTCCTCCTTTTCCAAAAGTTACAGTCTCCTCCTCCGGAAGAGAGGCATGGCAGGGCCCACTGGTAACTTCCCTGGGCTGTGACACTCCCGCATCTTACTCCCGGGGGACAAGGGACAAGCATCGGGGAGCAGGGTGAGAAGGTGGGGAGATTCCTTTCTCTCAGGTTGTTCCCCAGGGCAGCTGAGCAGACAGGCAGGAAAGACAGTGGAAACACAAAGTGGAACAGGAGGTTCGTGGAGCAGCTGAAAACTCAGAGATCCCCACAGGGTCTCCAATGCCGAGTCGCTCCTTCTCGGGACACCGGCCACTGGCAGTGGATCTGTACTGGCTCACAGGGTAGGAGGAGAAAATCCCAAGAAAACAAGTTGTTTATTGGGACTGTCAGGAGGAACAGGTGTGGGGGCCTGGCCACAGCCAATATTTTCTGAACATTCCCACGATAACCATCACAGGCTACACGTGTGTTTATAGAGCCTGTTCCAGGCGCACGCCTGGGGCCGTGCCAGGAGGATTTACATGACAGGAGTAAACAGAGCAGACGGGACACCTGCTGCCTGAAGCTGCAGGATTCCACGCCCGCAGCTACGCTGTGCTGAGCCCTCAGCACCGACCTGTGCGGTCCTCCACTCTGAAGCGGGTATTCGTGTCACCCCCACTTTCTACAAGGGGCAATGAGCTGACAGCCTCGTGCCCAGGGCCAGAGCTGAGTGAGGCCAGGATGAGGGGGTCTGACCGGGAACGAAGCTCTGATTTCTGACCCTTCTTAGCATCTTTGAGTCAAACTGGGGTTCAGGGTCCTGCCGGGTCATTATTGTCACCGCTGTGGCTATCCCGGAGGCCTGGGAACAGCCCCTGCCAGCCCACACACCTCTTCCTTGGGACCAGCTGCAGGTGAGGGCCTCTCCCCACTCGGGAAGTGCTTGTCCCAAATCAGGAGGTCAGACACTGGAAACTGAGGTGCCCTGTGGGGCCCAGGAGGGCTTACAAAGCGAGGGTGGGAAGGTTTGAACACCGGGGGCCCAGCACCCCAACTGAGTCCTGGGCTGGATGACCGGATCGTCACTGATTAACTGCAAAAGGGAATCTCTTTCTGTCCCTCTAGGCTTGTTTTCCTCATTTCTCAGGGCAGACCTCCTCCTCCCTGCCTCAGAGCTTCCCCATGACCAGCCAATCCTCCTTCCCAGATAGCGGGGCTCAGACCCTTTATGAACCTGTCAGCTGGGCTACCTGCTTGGACCTGTCTGAGGGCTCGTCCTCCCTGCGGCAGGTATCTGCACTCTCCACTGCAGCTCAGGGCTGGTGTGTCCTGATCCAGCCCCCATCGAACAAGTCTGCCTGCAGGGCCACCACCCTGCCCCTGACCCAGGGCTCCAGGGCAGAACTCAGGGATGTTCAGGGACTGCAGCTCGCAGAGGAAAGCCTGGGCCACGCTGTCTGACACGAATGCAGGAAAGGCATCCTCCTCACCGTGTCTGGGAGGCTTCCTAGGGCCCCGAGACGGAGCTGATGAAAAGGGCCCCTTGCACACCGCTGCCCAGGCTCCACCCTGGCATCACATAAAGAGGCTGAGCTGGTAAAAGGGCTGTCCTGTGCCAAGCTCCTCTCCCCTCTGAAGGGCTGCTGCCCCTTCCTCACCCCATACCTGAGCAGGAGGTACTGGAACTGGGAAATGATGAGCTTGCACAGCCCATCTACCTGGCCACTTCCCCAGGCTCACCACAAAGAGCAGGAGGAGGCTGGAGCCATCACCTGACTGGCCACTACCACTGGGCTGTAGCCAAGGGGGGATCCGAGAGGGGCAGTGATATTCAACCGGTGCAGATAGGGATAGGTGCATGGGAGGGGCAGGAGACACTCCCCTGAGGTCCCTCCTGCCTCCCCGCCCCACCCCCCCATCACTGCAGCCTCTGAGAGAGTGGTCCTCCCCACAGGGCTCTGTTCTCAAGGTCACACTGGGCTGTGTTCTCAAGGTCACACTGTCCGGAATCCAGCTAACAACAGTCTGAGACACCAGTACGGCCAAACTGAGCTTTTTCTGAAGGCAAAGATTCCACTCTACTGCCAGGATTTTATTAAAAACAAGCAGCCAAATCATTTGGGCTTTTTTTTTTTTATCTCGGCTCTTGGCTTCGCAATATTCCTGTAGTCTAGTCCCACCTGATTAAGCAGAGAGATGCATTTTCCTTTCAACCAAACGAGGGTCAGACGATTCCTTACTGAGTATTTACCAGGAACCTCTAGAAAGAAGGAATAGGAACGCGAACTCTTACGGGGCTTTCTCTTGGAGCCAGACAAGAAAGCTGCTGCTTTCCTTAGGGCCCCTCATTTGATCCTCGTCACGATCCAATGAGTGAGTTATCATCCCCCAGGTCACAGAGCTTGTCAGCAGTGGAGCTGGCGCACAAACCCAGATCTGACGCCAAAGTCCACGCCTCACGCATGACTGCCACATGAAACCAAACC